TCATATTTCGTCAGATCCTTTTTAGCTACTTACAACTTGTGGTATCTAAAAATCAAGATTGCTGAGTTGAAAATATTAAAGTAGATGAATTTGGTTGTAAGTCGCTGTGATCGCAAATGTGTAAATAAATTTTGGGGACCAAATAAAAACCTGAAATATCTTTGTGTAAAAGTGTAAAATAGCATTCTAAAACACCAATATCAATAAAAGCTATGACCAAAGGTCTAGAAATGATTGGTTAAGTAGTCAAAAAACGGTATTGATAAGTAAGAATAAAATGCTTCAATGTCATTTAGTTGACGCTAAAACTATTAAACTGGAAGAGAGCCAAAAAAGTGACGTAAAAACCAGTCGATTGAGTGGAAGACTTTAAATAAATTTAATGACGTAACGAAATGAAGTTTAAGTTGTCGAGGCAGAGAAAGGTAAATAACTTTTTCTTGAACACGTAAATGAAATTCTTGATTCCTGTCAGGAATAGCATCAGACTGGGGTTTGGTTGTTTAATAATTAAGGTATCGACTTGATATTTTCTGTTCAAGAGATGCCCAGAGATTTTACTATTCAAAGTACTTCTCCTTCTAGACAGAAGACTTTTTAAACATGTCCAAAGAAACTAATATAATCTTTCCTTTCTGCTTGACTAATGTAGCTGCTTTGGTGCATATATGTAAATTTATAGACACAATCGGGGGTAATAGAAGAGGGTATTTGTTAAAATTGACTAAATTATTTAATATCCTACATCGAAATCCAGGTTTAGTAGTTTGGCTGATGAGTAGGTTCTGACTGGCGCATTGTTAAGCCCTCAATTGATTACTCCTGAAGCATTGTCACTTTTGAAGCTGAGATACAGAAAGATGGGTACTTTATTGGGTGTAACAGTATTCGACTTGTTATATGTAGTTTTCCTAAAATTCTTAATATACTTCTGTGTCTGGAAGTTGTTTCTTAAGCACTTTTCAGTACTCATCAATTTTTTCCCGAATTCATCATTGATGTATGTTTTATCTACGCTATAAAATACTGTTTTGATCAATGCTTTCCTAAGACTGTTTATGACAAAAAGTCTGTTCTTTAAGGTCCTACTATAGTAATCATGTAAGTTTGGTAGGTAAGAATACAGTTACAAAGATACGAGAGCGAAGTCAGACAATTAACCGTAGGTTGTTTTTTATGGATTAGCAGGACTTCCAATATCGGTATTTTCTCCTGGACAGCAGGTTTGTGAAGTATCAAACTAATACAACAAAAATTACCAACCAAAACTTTTACCTGTGACCAGCCCTATGCTATTGTGTTTCGCTCTCTAGTCACACTTCAAAACTGAAAATGTCTCGATATAAAATTCACTTCCTTTTTCAAATTATTTAGCATTATATATCCTTCCACAGTGAAATAAATCGGAAAGCTCCAAAAGTCCACAGAACTTTAACAGTACTCTAGCTAATCTTCTCTTCAACAAATTATCTTCCTTGATTCCTAGTATTACTTCTGTCCCTGTTATCAACCTTCTCCTAGTTTCGTCTTCTATCTTACACGCAAGAGGTGCTAACGCCCCTTTCTTATAATATGCCTACCGTTGTACAGTGAGGTAACTACTTGCTAAAGCCTGAAATGTTCAAGCCCTATATCCGAGTGGACAATTTATTTAACTTGTCTTAGAATTTTATGTCATCTATGTTTTCCATGTCCTCTAAATCCTGATACTGGCCCTGGTAATGGCAATACGCTTTAAATTGCTTAACCATTAAATCAAATTTTCTTTTTAGGGTATTGGGTTTCAGAACGAATACTTGGTCAATTTTATATCCAATAATTTTCATTTAATTTCAAGCTCTTACCCAGCATTATTAATAATCAGGCATCTAGAAATGAGAGATCATCTTTTTCTTCTCCTTTTAAGATGAATGTGGTAAATGGATAAATACTGACGAATTTATCAACCTTATTGTATAAAAATCATGAATGTATCATCTTTGTAGTTATTGTAGAATCCTATTTTGTTGACAAGTACGTTAATGAGACTGTCCTCGAGTTTTACTCGGAGTAAGAATAACGGTTTCATTTTGTTTCCAAGATGATAAAATTATTTTAATCTCAGAAGGGTATTATGATAGATTATGTCGATTTGTCAAAAATTGTTGACAGATCATGGGTAAAATTAAAAAATTCGTATTTTACTACTTATGTGGTGTGTGCTACTTATATTGACATAAGTAGTATATGATGTTAGTAGTGAATAGAAGGTCTGGCGGCAGAGAGACAAAATGATCGGACAGTAAAGAATGGAAACAGAATGCAATATGTATGAAAATGCAAGAACAATGAAGTCTGAGTCATCTTGATACAATCGGTGGACATTTTGCAAATTAAGCATTTACTTTATGATTGTTAGGTTTTATTAACAAGTCCTGTAATTTTGTGCTAAATACATTTGATTGTACCCTCTAGTGTTCTTGTTCACTACACTTACTACTATCGTGTGGTATAAATATACTATGGAAATTGAACAGTGGTTTTGAAGTTTAAGTATATCACTACGACAGAAAATATGTGGTCTCACTGTGGGTATCCTGTACTAGATGTTGATCGGTATACTTCTGGGAGAAGGCCAATCTGACTCCTTTGACTAGTTTGATCCTCATGCCTCATCTCATGGGACTCCATAATTAGGTTTTTGTCGAGGAATACTTTGTTACGCATAAGTGAACATCCTCTGCAATATAGCTCAATGAATGACAATGAAAGCTTATATTTTGCAACATTTGGTTAATAGTAACCTTGGTGCATAAGACTAATTCTTCAACATAGTTTATAAGAACACAGATGTCGGTCTAACTTGGAAAAGTACTTAATAAAGAATTACATAAATTTAAAAAATTACTCCTCTTACAGTTAGACAGGTTATACTTAATAAATAACCCGACATGTTTTAATAGAATGTTAGTTGAAACATTCGTTCAGAGTGTCTGCCAGTCAATCAAACAATCGAAGACTGTTTATCCATGATAAACCGTTACTTATGAATTTCAGAGTATATACTTTTATAAGGTTTATGATATACTTAGCTACCTAATTTGGGATCATTGTTAGTACGAGTTCATACATTGAAATCAACATCTGTCAGAAGATAAGCATATGAAAATTTCATCCACAAGACCACATTCTATGTTGAAGTTTACGGATAAACATCACAAGTTGGTTTTTCATAAATGCACATTCTGTTGAAACTAAGTTAACACCATATTTCCATTCATAAATTAGGATATAATTAGCATTCGAAATTCTATAACTAACGACCGTCAATAATTAGATATAATAATGTAATAACGTTTGGAAAAATATTTCTTCCAAGTAACTAAAATGTGTATTTAAACGGTTAAATATAATTATCTGTATAGGGGGTGGTGGGGATTGTTAAGCTTTGATAGAGATCATTAATGGATCAATGGTAGACCACTATTGAAAGCCTGGAAGAACTGGACAGCCGTTTCTTCCTAGTATGGGACTCGTGAGCAGTACATACCCACGACTCTGCATCCGGGATTTGAACCTATGACATTCACTCTCGCGTGTGGATGCAGTCACTCACTGCAGACAATGGAGGACGATCGTGCAATATCGTAGATTGGTTGAAGTTAGATATTAACACCGTTGTATGTCGGTTTGGTGGTCTAGAATCTAGGCGTCTGAAAGCGAGAATAAAGTTCGAGTCCCGGGTGCGGTATTGTGGATGTGCATCGCCCAAGAGTCCCATGCTAGGACAAAACGGCCATCCAGTTCTTTCAAGTTCTCAGTGGTGGTCTAATATTGATGTACTCATGATCTCAGTGTTAAATATGATTTAAGTTGACAAATCCAATTTACATTAAAGACTTGATAACTGAAATCAAGATCGTATGAATTTTCAACAAATTTGTGACCGACAGCTTCGGAGTCACTCCAACACTTACTGTTAACGTTTTCTCAATAAATCAGTCTGTGGAACCTGAGATACCTTACCTACTTCTTATTTCTTTCTAATACACTTTGATTTTGGTTAAACACGGAGATCTGGCCTACAGAAATGTTATAATGAAGAATAGAACAACTAGATATCGCGTCCGATTATTCAACTTCTCCATAGGCTACATCTGTCAGTCTTATTCACCGACCCGTTAGTCAAGATATGCAAATTAAATGTTCATCTCTCTCCAAACTTAGATTTATAAGTGACTATTAAAACTGGATGAAATCTGTAAAAGTCATTGTCCTTAAATTTATAAAATTTTATTTGTTCAAACAGTCAATAATATCGTATTTCTACCGAACATATTCAAGATATGTTTATTTGTGAATAAAAAGATTTACAAAATTTCAAGAGCATTAGAATTTCTTCACGAAAAAATGTTCCTAGAAATTTGACACTAGTTTCCACTACATGATAACATTATAAATGAAGTTATTATAAACCAGCATGTACTGAAAATCGTATTCGAAACCATCATTATATATAAAATCATATTTTTTATTCACATTGATTATAATATAGTTTATTGATAAAATCATCACATCGTTATGATTATACAGCACTGTGTTTTTACTGATTCATTATTTATGTAGGGATTAAATTTTGTATTTATATTGAACTTTGTATCTTTATCACATTTCAATTGAACAGTATGAAGTGATTTTCATTTGAATAAACTTATAAGAGAGGAATAAATATGTGTATTTATACAAGGATTGGTGTAGGCATGTATCAATATTTGTATAACTTTATATATGTATATCTAATACCGGTACTATGATTGGTTCAAGTAGTCTATTAAAATCCTTTTAATCACTAAGTATTAACTACAATTTATGTAACAAGAAGTATGAGATTATTAAATCAAACTAGAAATATCACATTACTAATGTACCATAAATTTCATAATTTATTTAATTCAAATAATAAATGTTTAGCATACTTTATAATTATCATGTTTATTACAATTTTGTATTATTCAATTCTAATGAAACTAATAAATCCTGAAGTTACATATATAATTGCTCCAACTTCATCTGGGATATTTATAGAATTTACAAACAATTCATTATCAACAAATTATACTACTGAAATTGTGACACATCGTATAACTAGTTCAACCCCTATAATTACCACTAAAACTTTTCATCCTCAACGCCTTCACCATCATCGTCGTCGTCCACGTTATGGTCACAAAAAAATGAGATTGAGAAAAGTAAAGTTATTGAACATCATCAAGTCAAAGTTTCAAGTACATTCAAGATTAAATTGGAAAACTAAAAAAATAATGATGTTTTATCACAAAAATTTTTTCCTCCATTATATCTTAATCATTCATTTTGTTTAAATCAATCTAATTTTCATATTCATAATGAAAAATATATTAAATTAAAAAAATATCGACAAATTATAAATTTACCTAATGTATTAAAAGTATTTAATACAAGTCAATGGTTCAAAATAAAGCCAACTATATGTCAATCTAGTAAAATAAATTTATTAATTATTATATTCTCTCCAATAATAGATCATTCAATTCGTTATAAAATTCGTCAAACATGGGGTTCAATTAAATATATATTAAGTGATACTATTATAAATAAACAATATTTTAATGGATTAAATATTATTGAACATTTATTTATTGTTAATATTACAAAATATAAATTTAAACAAAATTCAATTCATATTCAAAATCTTTTAAAAGAAGCACAATATGAAAAAGATATTTTAATTTTATGTTTAAATCATTTACAAAATAATTTAGCTTCATTATATCTTTTAACTAGTGAATTCTTATTAAATTCATGTAAACATTCTATAGATTTTGTTTTATTTATTAATCAAGATTTATTTCCTAATTTAAATGCTTTAATACAATATACAAATTCAAAATTATTACATTTAACATCGAATACATTAAAACAAAATTATAATCCATCTATATATTGTATACCAATGATACAAAAACATATTGGATATAATAAACGATTTAATAATTTATATAAAAATAATTTACCTATATGGCAAGGAAATATTTATCCTACATATTGTGATATTAAAACTGGTGGTTTTTTATTATTATTTAAAACAATGAAACAATGGTATACATGTTCTCATTTATATATACCATTTAATCCTATACAAGTTTATTTAACTGGTTTTATAAGATATATAGCTAAAATTGATATTGAAAATTATTGGATAAATTATTGGTCAATTAGTAATTTGTTACCAAGTGTATCATTAAATAAGAAAAGTAAAAAATATTTATTTTTTCAAAAATCTATTAATCAAAATAGTCGAGTATGGAAAAGTGTATTTCGTGCAACATTGAGTTGATAACATCATATATATATATAAATATATATATATATATATATATATATATATATATATATATATATATATATATATACTTTTTTCTGAATCTTACTTTTGTTTTCATTGAGTGGAAATATATTAATTCAGATTAATGAGTTATTTGAAATAAAAATATAAATCAAATTTATTATTTATTTACTTACTTACTAATGGATAGGACATACATTAAGCAAATCATCTAACTGCATCACGAGGGAAGCCCTAACTCGGAATCCTGAAGGGAAGCGAAAAAAAGAGGAAGGCCAAAGAACACATTACGTCGGGAAATAGAATCAGGTATGAAAAGGATGAATAACAAGTGGAAAGAGCTGGAAAGGATTGCCCAGGACAGGGTTTGATGGAGAATGCTGGTAAGCGCCCTATGCTCCTTCACGAGGAATAACAGGCGTAAGTAAGTACTTAGTTACTTACTTACTTACTCAAACCTCTCACTCCTAGTGAGATATAGGCTAATAACCAGTGATCTTGAACTAAAATAATGCTGAGTTCTTAATTTAGTTGCTATCGGATACTATCCATTTTTTTGTTGTCTGCCCCCAGCTCCTGACATCATATCTTTTTCTGACTGCCTGTTTTCCTTTTCTCTGGAAGATTTCAAGTAAAGGCTTGCTTTGTGATCCATTTTGATGATTTTACGTAATTTGAGTATTATCTACCTTCAGAGTCTTTTTCTAATTTTTTTAACTAGCAACTATTTTGTTCTCTGACAGTAGCTTACACCTGATGATCTCTGACTAACAGATATGGAATATTTTGCGTCAATGGCTATTTATAAATACTTGTGCTTTTGGTGATGAATTAGGTAGTTCTTCATGTTTTAACTCCATACAATGGACCTGTTTTTATTTTTGAGTCAAAAATTCATGGCATTTGGTCTTGAGTGACAGTTCTTAAGTCCCATATTTTTATTCAGTCGTAGGCATATCCACTTCGTATTGCTGATCCGTGCTTTGACATTTGCATCAGATCATTCTGGTTTATCCCTAGTTCTGTCCATCTATTTAAAAGATTTCACCTCTTCCGGGGCTTCCTCATCAAGTGTGATTTAAGTTTACCCACTTCGTTGTACATCAGCATCTAACATTTTTGTTTTTGGATGCTGAAGTCTATATCTCATGACGAAACCGCTGATATGATGGCTGCTTTGGTCTGCGTTTGTTGCTGTTTATGAGACAGAATAGTTGAGCTATTTCAAAAACCCAAATTTTTCAACTTCACCCACCATATTCCTTACTTCTTCTCAGATGTCGCGATCATCATCTATCCGACAGCTAGAAGAAAGAGAAAAGAAGCTAGGCAGCCTGTATGACATCAGTATTCACTTGGAATGTATCTGTGAACTACTCCACGTACACAACTTTGCAATTCAGTTCGTTGTAGGAGTTCCGTATGATAGTGACAATCTTCCTATGTATTATATACTGTGAAAAATTTTCTTAGAGTTCTCGTATTCACACTATTGAATCAAAGATGTTGATGTATGGCGGTGAATTCCTTTCAAACGACTGATCAACGACGACCCAAAGTGTCAAGATTTGATGGGTACATAGCCAATCCCTACGAAAGCCAATTTGTTGGTCCCGATGTTAGGAATCTACTGAATCTTTCATTTGGTTGAGGGGCGTTATGTTCAAGACTTTTCCGATACTGATAATATTGTAATTCCTCTGTAGCTCTCACATTCACTAAGATAGGGTATCCCACATTAAGGTCTTTTTTTACTTGTTTTTCGCAAATTTTTAGGAAAAAAGGATATGGGACATATTTACAGTTACCCAACTAACCTAATGAGTCGGTGAGCACCTCCCTTAGACTGAGGAAGGGCGTGATAAGAACAGTACTCAGCCCCGTTCTGTCACAATTAGTCAATAACGGTCATCATCCTTCAGAGTGATTATCGTATACTTACTGTTTTTCCTTCCATCTCGTCTCTTACTTATGTCTGAAGTTATAGGGATTCGGGTCAATAACCAAAGCATTTATATTTATAAGATATTTTCAACACCGTCTCTTCCTTGCCTGAATTAGGCATAGCGAACGATTTCCCTTATTATTATAATTTGTTTTCATATCCTTTTTTCATTTATCTTTATCCGCCTCTTCTTCAAATACTTCCTTTTCTATCGAATGATTTCAATACTTCTTATAGTAGTGGCTGGTTCTATGTCGAGCCCACATAGCTTACTCTAGCTTCGGGAAAGGCTAATATTTCCATTCTTCTTAAGTCATATTTTGACATTGTTAATTATTCACTTATCAACCTTGACTGTTTTCATATGAGTGTATGTGTGTGTACATCTTATCCCACTCATCATATGTCTCTAACCTATTTTTATCTGGCTCACACACCTCCACCGCGCATCATTTCGATTCGTTTCTCTGATTGCCTGCCCAGATCAATGACTGTACAGAATGTATATATTCGAAATCCATTCTCGTATTTGGCTTATTTAATTTCGTTATTCACTGGAGCGGATTAAGTCGATAATTAAATACGAGGATTGGCAACATATGCGTTTCGACATGTATATCTCAATAACGATCAATCATACGACCGAACTGGAGTCAGATATAAGAACACTAAATTAGTATTTTCACTTTGGGATTGTGGAGATTATTGCATTTCATTGAAATCACGAACCAATCAATGTTAGACAGTTAAATGCTGGCTCCGAGGTCTAGAGGTCAGGCATTCGCGAGCGAAAGCGAAGGTTTTGGGTTCGAATCACGCTTGTGGGGTCGTGGGTACGTACTTCTGGGGGTCCCATACTAAGGCAAAATAGCCGCCCAATGCTTCCGAGTTCCAGTGGTGGTCTAACATTGATCGGTTCATGATTTTATTGGGATATCTCACTGCTATTTTAATGAATGTTGACTCAATGTCTGTATTTTCTAAGCCTACAACTTAATTCCTATTATGAAACATTAGTTCAAGCCCTTATTATTCTTATCGCAAATAGTATATCTGTTGTCTCAATGTCAAGTCGTACCTTTTACTTATTATATCTGGTTATGTATTCTGTTAACTCATAAATTGTCTTGGTTGGTTTATCTTCATAATACGCATATAAACATTACTGTATATTAGAATTCCAACTGATGAAAATTTGATTGAAAAAAATATTGTTGGCTTATACGTGTTGTTCTAATTTACAAGATAAGAATTTTGAATACATTTTAAGTATACTGTGTTAAGAGGATGTAAAGAGAAATTTTACTTTTCAGTAGATGGATATTATCGTTTGTTTTTAACTGTAGCTAATGGTATATCATAACGTTTGCATCATACGTAGCATATGTTGGTAGGACTTTGCAAAAAAACTGAATTTCATATTTATGAATTCATGATAACCTGATTTCAAAATACACAAATATAGTGTTTTCTTTTATTGAAGGCATGAAAGTGTACTCTTATGAAATTTTACGGATTACAGCAATTTAATGATTTGAAGGTAGTTTAATGTTAGTTAGTTCTTCAGATAACACCTTTTTATGACAAAACATATAGCGAAATTCTAAAACTATCAACTTTTACTCTATGTTCCTAATCCGATTCCAAACCACAAAAATGTTGTGTTCTGAGGTCGTACGAGTCTGCAACTGATGTATACACTCTTTATATGTGTACAAAAACTAGCCACTTGAGTAAGAAAACTAAGAGTAGGGAGCTTTTATTGGCAATTGGGATTGACAATACATACACAACTCAGTTGTAGTTCTCAGAAAGTTAAACCATATTTTCGGCCAGTATCTATTTATTTAGACAGGAAAGCCGAATCTTGACTAATAGCATGAAACAGTTAGCACATCGTACTTCTCCTTACCTGCTTCTGATTGGCTCAGTATATCATTTTTTTTCGTAAAAATAAGCCTTGCTGTTTAGTCTTAGCTCTTAGAATTCAAATGGGAGAATATCCAGTAACATAGAAAAATATTTGAAACATAAAAGATATTTGTTATCCAACCATTACCTCCATTTTCTTGGAAAATCAAAGAAGTCGGAGTGAAATTATTTTTTTAGGCAACAGTTAACTGACTAATTTATGAAGGGATTTATTAAGGTTGAAGATAGTTTACATCATGGACCGATATGAGTAGAAGAACTGTTGGAGATATTGGATCTCCAGATACAACGTATTACGAAGAAATCAATCTTAAAAATTCATGTATTGATATAGGATGATTTACGTTTAGTCATTTTTCAGGACCCTTTCAACTTCATTGATTCATTCAGTAGGAATTTCATCTACTTCAACTTTCAATGAATTATAATATATTTGTATTGGTGTTCGACGCTGCAGTCGATCAGTTTATTTGAGAACTGGAGTGAATACCAACTCTGGTAGGCAGGTACATTTAGCTGACGAGTCCCAAATGGGAAGAAGCGCGGGTCCTGGAATCCACTATTACCCATCATCCATCTCAGTTTATAATTTCAGTGGATTGTCAATGTATTAATAAATTTACTGTAACATTCATTCAGTATGACAATTTCTTTATTAATAATCACTGAATGCAATTGGTATATAATTGAATGATTTCAAATGTAAATTTTTTCCAGTTCTTATTGAGTCTCTATCAATAAAATTCTGGAAAAGCTTAGATTACTGTCTATAATTGGTAAGTAGAGAAAACGACAGAAAGTAGCCTCCTTCATAACCATTTCAGTCCGAGTTGCGAATCATTAGCTGGGTGCACAATCATATCAAGACGAAGTAAAATTTAAAGGGTATTCAATATCTACTACTATCTTCTCTCAGTTTAAGACCTCCAGTAGTATGTACCGACAAACTTACCGAAGCTATAAACTCTTTACGTTTAGATCATATGATAAGTCAGTATTTACTAGTCAATATTTTTATAATTTCTTCACTTCAGCTAAATAGATTAAAGTACATGTTTGAAACTGAGAAAATAATCACACCTACTAGAAGTATAAATAAAGATCAAAGGTCATT